ACTAAAACAGGAGAAAAAGAAGGAAAGGGAAAAATAGCAAAAACGAAAGTAAGAAAGGTTTTCATGTTTACAATAATGAAGAGAACTCATGATCTAGGACAACACATATATCATACATACACAAAAAGTCGTCAATAGACACTGCCTCAGCAACCACAATTACTGCGTTACTTTTCACATGTTTTGTAAGGTGGATTAAACGGTGTCACATAACAAACACATCCTCTATGTGACAGCAAGTTCTATGATAAAAGTTCTTGTTACACTTTCACGGAAAGGAAAGTAAATTCTTTCCTTCAAATAAATGCATTGCAAAAATATTAGAACTTCTAAATTTAAATGGTTATCGAGAAACTAGGGTCGAGAATGAGCTGCTAAACCTTGAAAAGTAGGCGGTAGACAGCCCAAAGTTAGTGTTTCAAATTCCACCGAGTCAATTTTGTATTTTGGAATTTGCTCAGCTATGATTGGCTCTGCTATTTTCTTTGCCATCTTGCAAATTGCCTGAGGAACTTTGGTTGTCAGTATTGAATTCAAAATAGAAACAGTTACATGAAAAGCATACAAGCATCCAACCTTATCCAAATATGGCCACATAAGTTCAATGAATTTGTTCAGCCAATCAATCTGCAAGAGAAAAAAATTAGACCAAGACTAATTATCCTGTAAAAATTATGCGATAGAGTAGAGTAAAGGGATAATTTACCCGATCATAATCTGGATTTTTTATCCAAAGGGGTATCTCTGGGAGCAGCCGTTGGAGACTCTTAGAATCTTGCTCAACTAAAGAACGGATATCAGGATCCTAAATAGAGCACATTTCAGTGAATGAAAATAAACTCGTCTACATATTTTCTTCAATAATAGAGGGGCAGATAGACAGCAGTTTCTGCCTTCTTTCCCATTTACATTTTTGTTTTTGAATAGTGGAATTTTCATCGATATCCTTAAACTCATCACAAGTTTTATCAGCTCAAAGTAGTGACTGTGCTTTAATGAGGAAGATTTGGAGGAAAGTTTCAAGTCTAACAGTTAATATAATATGTGTTGGATAGATAATAATATCAACAACTATGAAACTAAAGACCGATAAAAATCGGAACAAGTATTTTTACGACAGGTTACTTTACTAAATATTATATTCCACCAGCATATATTCTGAAAATATTCAGAAATTTGAGTGCTCAACAGAGCTGTAGAGAAGTCTTCATCATAATCTGTTGTGTGATTCTCCTCAGTATATTAAATATCAACTGAGAAAATTAGTTTGAGTGTTGTTATGAATTGTTTCGTAAATTAATTGTCTGCTAAAACATTCATTTGTTTACTTCAATCACCATGCACCAAAATGCATAAACCAAGAGTATTGGCAAAAGCAAAAAACACTGTATTGATGTCAAAAACTGGTGCGATACTCTTTGATCAACTTTTACGGAATTGAACTAAATGAAAGTGTAATGATGCTGGAGTTTTACAGTAGTACAAATAAAATCTCAATTCGGATTCTACTTTTCATTTACCCCTTGTCCCCTTATACAGGTGAGTGGGCTGAAACTTGCCATCTAATCATGTCAAGCTACATTGTTTCAACCTAGGGCTGTGTGAAACTGTCCGTTTGAGGGAATTTGATTGGTTGGTGAGGTCAGCTGCGACGGAGTTATGATGACGCTTAGGTCTTAGGCACGTGTCCTAAGGCATCTTTTCATGCTATTAATTGGTTGATTTGGACAGTCCTGCCTTCACAGGAGAGCACTTCGTCTTTCATGTGTCATGATGATGTTTCTATATGACATCTCTTGTAGTCTGACTCCGACCTACATCATTTGGGTATTGGACCAAGGTGCTGAGCTGACCTGTCTGAATCCCTTGACAGGCAGGCTTCTTTGCCTACGTCACAAGGAGCTCCCAATTCGATCACATGGAATTCATATGGC